GGCTCAACCAAGAGCCCAGCTGAAAGTTGAAGACAGTCTTTCCCTGTGTGGTAGATGTACCTTCTCCTGGCTGTATGTATACTTACGTTTGTTTGTCTGTGAATGATGGTGTCCTTTGCTTTTTGTGGAAGCTTTCAGCCCCTGGTTACTGGCCTATCACTCCTTAAGACTCTGCTGTCCCACCCATATCTTGAGAGGCCAGCTCAGTGTCACAGAGATGGTATGTACTGAGAAGCAGGATGGAGGAGTGGTGTGGCCAAGAACAACGTGGGCACAGGAGTGTCCTAATTCTGCTGTTACTCCTTGTGTGGTCTTTGGTTTTCTTTTTTTTTGGTTGTTGTTGTTGTTCATTTGTTTGTTTACTTTACTTTTTCCCTGTGTGGTCTTAAGCAAGTTGGCTTACCTTTTCTGTGCTCCTGTTTCCTCAGGTACACAAGTGGGGCCAGTAGCAGCACTTACCTCATAGGAACTGATAGTGTAAGATTCAGTGCAGTTTTGCTTGGAGAGTACAGGGGTGCTCCTGGAGCAGAGCTAAAGCTCTGGGATCCTGCCTTCTCTATCCCATGGTTGCCTTACATGGGCAGAGAATCCAGTTTACAAAATACTTCCCCTTCCTAATCTTTGTGGAGAGTCTTAGGCCCCCAGTACAGGAGCAGAGAGCACTGGATTTCAAAGCAGGAACCTGATCTACAGCCATGGCCCAGTGAGGAAATAGGCACTTGCCTCTCTGAGCTTAGGTATCCTGCTTGCTCAGCTGGACACATTATTTCTTTTTCTGGGTTATTTATATGTCATCTAAAGGGTAATATGATGGAAAGAATATTGACTTTGGCACCATCATAAGTAGAAGTCAGATTTCAAGGCACTCAGAAACCCTGTGCCCTGAACTATTGCTTAGTCTGAGCCTCACCATCTGCCTCTGGTAAATGGGTGAGATGTGGCAGCTCTGAGAAAGTCTGCATTGGTGCTGAGCCAGGGAGACTGCTGGCGACTCTGAGTTCTTGAAGACTTCTCATGCCTCTGCACCTGAGCTGGGTCTCAGCACTCATCATGTTAGTTACTATGGTTTTTTTTTTGGTTTTTAATGGTTATTTACCCTGGTTTTCATGGTTTTCAAGGCCAAATGATATGCTACTAGAAAATGATGTGTGAATTTCTAAAAGAATGATGAACATTAATTACATTGATTCTATTTTATTTTTCTTTTCAACTCTTAAATTTAATTAAAGAGTAGGGACTTTGTTGGACTTTCATTGTTATGGTTTATTATCATTTTTCATGTTTATTAATAAAAGATAATGCTTCAAACAGCATATGTATGTTCAGTATTTCTCAAACTATTGTAAAGTGTTCCTATTCAGTGTAGATGCAATATAAAAAGTGTATTTTGCAATATAAAAAGGTTATCTCAAAATATTAAGGAATTCCTGGGTTTCGCAGCAGTATGAAATGGCTTTAAACATTTCTGAACACTTACTCTGAATGTCTGCTCTTCTCTTGTCTCACATGGATGGCAGTAGTACCACAGGGGCAGCCGCTCACAGACATGCTTGGCACCGCACTAGAACGCGCTCACGCACTCTGTGCAACTTTCCTGCCTGCCCCACCCGTGTTTCACTTGGAGCCTTAGAACCATCTCACAGATGGTTGGCAACCTTAATGTGCCCTTGCTCTGGGTGACCTTCCCATAGTTGTTTCAGCTCCTTGGTGTGGCTCAGGGAGCCCATTTAACTGCTGCTCTGTTGCTCCTTCCCTTTTTCCTTACACCTTCGCCTGTCACAGAAGGCTGTCTCTGGGCGTTTGCTCAGTCTCAGGTGTGCTGTCATGCCTGAGAGTTTCAGCATCTCATTCATCTACACAGCGACCCATTCTATAGATGATTAACCTCTGGGTCACAGAGTTTACCTGTCCGGCAGCAGAACACACTATTGGTAGCTGATTAGGCCCAGGCTTGTCTTGGATCAAAATTCCCTGTCAGCTGTCTCTTATTCCTGCTGGCCTCTCATGCCAGCCATTGGCACCTGTAATTTATCTGGATGGACATACTTCTCTCCTCTCTGTCTTTCGGACAGCTTTCTGGAGCTTATCCTGTTTGTGGAAGAGAGTATCTAGAAGGGCTAAGTGGTGTTGAGACACTGAAAGTGAGAGGTGGAGTCGGGAGAGAGGAGTTGCGTCTTACCCTTAGGGTAGTGGAAGCACTGAGTGTGTTAAACAGCAGTTTACAAAATGAGATGTGACTATGGGAAGATCACGGTGCCTACTTAGATGAGAATGGTTTAGAGGACACCGATTCTGTCCTGCTCTCTGTCAGTCCTCTCTGGCTGTGGTAAATAAAGCGATCAGATGAGACCTGAGAGTGCCTTCAAAGACTAATAAAAATTCCAAGAGACACAGTAGTTTCTTGACCCATTTTTATTTTTGTGCTAAAGGGAACTGGTTTTGATCTTACATTTGTCTTCTGAGATTCTCTTTAATTCTTTTTTATTTATTTTTTATTATTTTTTTTCTCTTAAATTCTTGAATTTGTTTCTGGTTGTACTTGAGTTTGGAAATAGTTATTTGAGGTACAGCAAACTGCTATGGTTTACACCAGTGGGCACAGATGGTGATGTGCAGTATAAAATTTCAGAGTTTCAGAGGTTAACTCAGAAACAATGAACATCAGAGTTTAATGATGAAATTATTTCTTCAAATTTTGTTTCCTGGGTTCCATCAGTTATTTTTTCTATTCTTCATTGTGAAGAAAACTTTGTCTCATGTGGTCAAGTCATTTTTCTGGCTGCAAAAGAGAATCAGGTTTTTGACAGCTCATGATAAACCCCACTTGAAGCTAGGATGTTTAGATGTTTTATGCACTGGTGAAAATTTGTTGTAGCACTTTGTATCTCACTGAAAAGCAAAACAAAAACAAAAACATAAAACCTTGCTTTGTTTTGGTAATGGCATTGGCATTTATTTAAAGCTTGCATTTTGTGGGAGCACATTGGCAGGTATTCACTGGTGATATTGGCAGCTACTATTGTGGTAAATGGATTCACTGGCCCAAAGGAAGCTCAGGGAGTGTTTGTGTGATTTCTGAGCAGAGGATTCACAGTGACATTAATGATATTGTATTTGTTTGTTAAAGGTCAAAAGAAAATCAATTTAAGCTTTTCATGTACAAAAGGAATAAAGCAACAAGGGAATATTAATTTTAGGTCTGCATAAAGAATAAAGCTAGTAAAAGGCTCAATGACTTCTTCCTCTCTTAATTGCATACTCCTTGAAGTATCTTTTATACTATTTTCACTTAGTATTTTACACTGGTTTGGCAGAGGTGGGCACCTTGGAGACAGAGGAGTGCCATTGGAGGAGAAGTCACAGAACATGTTAATAGAGGTGTCCAGGATGAAAATTAGGAACCTAATAAACTTTATGTTAATTGCACAATGGCTCCTTTTTAAGTGAAGAATTTCAACTCTTTAGAGTTTAATTCTTTATAGAGCTTCATTCTTTCTCTCACTGATAAATGAAAGAGTGCTTTTTTATTAGGAAACTTACCTAAGGACCAGTACAAGGAATGGGGAAAAACACATTCCTTGAATGATACTATCTTCCGGTACTTTCTTCTAAGCTTTTCTTTTCTGCTGGTGATTGAACCATGGGCCTTCACACTGAGCGGTATCTCCAGCCCTTTGTGTGTGTGTGTGTGTGTGTGTGTGTGTGTGTGTGTGTGTGTGTGTTTTAAGGAATGTCATGGTAAGTGTCCCAGGTGGGGCCTTCTGCCTCAGACTTTTTGAGTGCTGGTACTCCAGGTGTGTGCCACCATGCCTGGCTCCTTCTAAGCTTTTTACCATTCATAAAACAAAACAACCAGAAAAAAAGGGCTGCCTTTTGTATATCTTACAGAGAGACCCAGGTTAGTGATCTTCTGTTTTATAGTGTGTTTCCTCATATACATTCCTTATTCTGAAAGTATCTTTTATCTCATATAAAGTATGTGTTACCAATAGCCTGGTTATTATTGTCCATCACACAGCACAGTGAACACTTAGGTAAGTCTGAGGTATGGGAGAGGTGATTTCTTGAACTCACCAGGGGTCCAGGCCAGCTCAGGGTCTGGTGACTGCATGCTGTGGGGACTTGTCTTAAGGTGCTTGTAGTCTTCCTGCAGGATTCAGAGACAACATGGCAGTGTAACATCTCATGTTTCTCTAATATATTTAAATAAATTACTGTTGAGACACCTCTATATTGATTATAGGCTACTGTATAGCCACCTCCATTTTTATTTATTCAAGATCAACCAGAAATATTGAATAATTCGTTTCACAAAGAACCAGTGGTTCCCCATAGGCTGAGGGCTGCAGCTGGCCAAATGCAGTAGCAGATTCATAGGGTACAGCCAGGCTCCACATCTGCCTCCTGTTGGTGGCATGACCTTCAGCAAGCTACTGTTTCTCTTTCTGCTAAGATAAAACTAATAGTATACACTTCTCAGAGCTCCTGTGATGTAGCTATGAGGAGCATACAGAAAGGATCTGTCCCAGAATGGAGGCAGCAGTGACAGAGAAGTAGCTGTGCAGCTTTTGTTGTATCTGTCACTGTCATTGACACCATGTTGGAGAAGTCTCTGGTTCTGTTTCCTCGGTTTCTAGAACCAAGGACCTGATGAACAGAATGGGAACAGTTACTCTCATTGTGCTATTAGCAGGGACTTTCTTGATAGGCATGACTCACATTAGAACAAAAGTGTTTGCTAGAAAGTGTTAAGAACCAGACCCTGAAGTACACAAATGGTGATGTAGTTGTATTTTGACTATAACTCCCCAGTGCTAAAACCAAGCAAATTAAGACATATTCAGCATGGGGTGGATTTGCACAGCTTGTAGGTGAACAGCCCCAACAAGCTGCAGATATGTTGCTGAAATGTGGCAGGAAGGAGGGTCCAGAGGAGGAGGGACATGGCTTGGGGGAGGATCTGCCTCATCGCCTTACAGTTTGGTGGTTGTTTGTTCCAGGTGGCCGAGATGCATGGGGAGCTGATCGAGTTCAATGAGCGGCTGCACCGGGCCTTAGTGGCCAAGGAGGCTCTCGTATCCCAGATGCGCCAGGAGCTCATTGACCTCCGGGGACCGGTGAGTGCTTTACCTTGCAGGTGGTATCTCTCTGTTGGTCTGGCCTCTGCTGCCCCCAAACACTATTTAGTGCTTTCATTTTTGGTAGTGTAAACAGTGTAGAAAGGCATTGAAGCTGAAAGAATGCACATCTGTGCTTCTATCACCCAGATTTTACCTACCTAAACTTCTGCCACAGTTATTTTTTGGGAGGCAGCAGGGATTAGAATAAATGCAATGTTACAAACTATATTGTAGTCACACTTAACCTTCTTCCTGCTAGTAATCTATTCTGAAATTGTCCATGTTATCATTAATGAGAATTTTGCCATTGTAAATGAGAATACTGTTAGCAGTCGAATAACACATGCTTGTACACACGTATAATAACTTCCTATTCATTTTAAAATATATTTATTATGTAAAATGTTAAGCGCCTAAAAGTAGGCCAGATTAAGCATAATGTGCTCTCTGGCATCCATTGTCAGATTCAACTGTTATCAGTCATGGCTGGTTTGTTTCAAACGATCTATCTCAACTTCTTTTTCTATTTTATTTGAATAAAATATTGGGTAATAAGTCTGTAGACATCTTGTTATATATGTCTAAAAATAATAAAACATAAATCCTGTATTCTTACCATTCTCTGTTGCCCTGTATCTTCAAATATCAGTGTTTAAATTTTCAATTATCTCAATTATTTTTTATACTTTTTTAAAAAAAATCAGGATCCATATGATTCACACATTGTATTTGGATGATGTCTCTTTTTTTCTTTTTCTTTCATATCTTTGCAAGTTATGATAAAATATAAATAACAAATATACCATCCTAATCATTTTAAGTGTACAGTAAAGTGGCGTAAATATATGTATTGTGAAACCAATACCACCACTGTCCATCTGCAGAGTTTTATCTTCTCCAATTGAAACTCTATATTAAATACTAACTTCTCTTTTCTCCGTCTCTGAGGCCTTGGCACCCACAATTTAACTTTCTAACTTCATGGATCCAACTCCGGTGCTCTCTTTTCTTTCTTTTTGTGTTGTGTAATCCTGCTGCCACTCCCTACCATTAAACAAGTGTTTCTTTAAGGTCAGTGACTAAAGATTTTATATATTGAACTAGTTTTAGTTGGTCAAATTATAAAGTTCATGTAAGAGTTCTGCCAACTTTTTTATTTCCCACCAAAACATTTGTATGAGATGGCCTAAGTGTGCAATTCCCCAATTACAAATGAGATTGACTATCTTTTCATTTGCTGGCGCCCAGTGTGTTTTACACTTTTGTGAGTTGTCTTCATAGCCTTCTATTGGATTGTATTTGTTTTTCTTACTGATTTGTAGCAGTTCTATTCATTTCTTTTTTAGTTATTTGTATTGTAAATATTCTGATTCAGCCTCTGGCTTGATTATTCACCTTTAATCATAGTGGAAAAATTCAAACATATATAAAATCAAAGAGAATTATATATAACATAATCCACATACCTGTCCTCAGCTTCTACAATAATCACTTCTTTCATATTCTTTTCAGACCTTCCCAACCATGGTTATTTGGGAAGGGTAATACACACTTCCAGGTCGTGCCCCAAATGACTCAACTCTTCTGATCATGCCTGCTGCCAACAGCACATTTACTTAGAGTGTCCTCATGAGCTAATCACCTTCCAACACCCTCCCCTGCCCCAGCACATGAGAGTTTGGTAGTCATTCTTGATCTAAGTCATTACATATAGCTACACATAGCTAAAAATACCATTGTGACATCTCAAAAATTAACAGTGATTTCTTCTTCTTCTTTTTTTTAACAGTGATTTCTTAATGTCATCAAATATCCAGGCAGTATTCAATAGTGTTCAATATCCTCAAAATTTTTTCAACTTATTTGCATTAATCAGAATCCTGATAAAGTCCAAATATTGCAATTGAGTGATAGGGTTTTTAAGTCTCCTTTTATGTATAAATCCCCTTCCCTTTGTTATCAAGAAAATTAGCCTGTTGAACTATAGATTTTACTAGTTAAGATTTTGCTCACTGCATCCCTGTAATGATCTTTACTACGTTCTTCTTTCTCTTACTCTAGAGATTTTAAGTTTCAGGTTTGATTTTTGGCTTGTACACAGCCTCAACACATGGCAGTGTGTGCTTCCACCAGGAGGCTCATAACATGGGGTGGGAAAGCACTAAGGGAGAGGCCAGTGTACCCCAGCTTCTGTTTCTGTATGGCCAGCATGTGAAGATGAACTCCCATGGTTAGCGCCCTGCAACACAGTCCCAGGGAGGAGGGGTCCCTGCCCTCACTCCTGATCTCTCCCAGACTTTATGCGTGTCTCTAGATTTCATTATTTAGGGAGTTATGTAGTTTTGGGTCTCCCTAGGATGAAAGCACATTTAGGACATTCCTGTCCTTTATTTCCTATGGCACTTTTGAGGGAGGGTATTTTATTGCCATTTTACAGTTTCACCAAGCTTTTGTGAAGACCTAATTTTTCAATGAGTGTGCCTTGCAGCCAGATTCAGACTCACATTTAATTAAAGTCATATTCTTTATCCATGATGCACTAATGCCAGAGGATTCGGGGGAACAGAGTAAGGTCCCTGAATTACCCTTTTCCCTTCTAAGCAAATTGTCAAGAGTTCTTTACAGTGGCTTCACACCCATGCCTCACCTTAAAGACATGAGAAGTGGTGTCTACAGGGCACCTGTTCTCACTGCGTCTGCATCCAGGAGCTAGAAAGGATAGCAAGCTGTGGGTTTGAGAAGCTTGTGTTTACCCGTTTCCCTCTGTGAACAGGACAGGTCTGGGAGAGGCAAGGCTCTGCTATTTCCTGCCCAGTTCTAAGCATTCCAGCATGCTTTAAGACAGACCTATGAAGGGATTCTGTGGCAGGCAAGAACCCACAATGTCCCTGATCCTTAGCATTTGCTCAGTTTGGCCTTATAAGTGTCTTTCTGTGTCTTTAATACTGAAGAAAAGACAGGACACTATTGTCACGGTGGATGCATTTTCAGGGAGTATCCTCAGTGTCATTTTGAATAAGAATAGACAGCTGAGTAGTACAAATTATTAAGTGCCAGTATCTATTGCTCATATTTATTAACCATTGCCTGCCAAAAATTTGACTGAATTCTTTCAAGCATTAGAGCTTTATTTAATCATAATTCATCATGATAGTAATTATTATTATGATCCCCATTTTGCAGAAGAAGAAACCGAAGCTCAGAAATGAAATCATTCACCCAGTGTTCTAGTGAGAAATTAGAGATATGGGTCTTATTTAGCTACTGAGAATTAAATGCAGGGTCTCATTCATGCTAGGCAAGTGCTCTATCACTGAGCTGTACCTGTAATGAGATTTTATTGTTTTACAATTTGAAAAGTACCCAATTTTTTTGACTCTTGAAAAACTATTTCACCCTTGCTAGAAAGTCCAGTACTTAACAAAGGTATTCAATGAGTAGTTGGTGAAAAATATCTTCCTCCGTGTTGCTCCTTGATTTTCTCACCTAGAGGCAAAAAGTGTTTCCAATCTTTTGGCTGTGTCTTTTCAGAGAATAATAATCTCTGCGTAAACTGCTTGCATACACTTACATGTTTTAATAACTAGTAGCCTTCTAAGTTTGTTGTTCTTTATGTTACTTTTTTTATTAACTTAGAGATCTCTTTCTCTTGCTTTACATGTAGATCTATTCTTCTTAAGAGCTGTATTGATTTCCCCAAACTGGGAATACCATAATCCACCTAGCAGGGCCCTTGGGGAGGGATATAGCATTGTTTTCCTGGTTTTGCTGTTATAGCAGTGTTGAAATACCATCTTTATGTACCCCTGTTGTTCAGAGGGAAGCTTGTTTGGCTTTTGCTTCAGGTCATTTAAGGTAAGGTTGGCCAGTCCTGCCTTACAAGTCTGGGGCCTTTGGACAGACTTCTGCCTCCTCCTATCTGCTCTGTTCCAGGACTACCCTGTCCAGAGTCAGCACCCTCCAGGAGGCTGCATTACAGGGAGTTACAGCAGCATGTCAGACACACATAGGAGGCATTATCTTTGTTAAATGCAATGCAGAGGGTTTGGTCCCTGCTGGGTTTCTCATTGGGCTCTCTCACCTGGCTGGGCTTGAGTCCGCTGCCCTCTCTTACTGTTCCCTTTGCCTGTACTGCTGCTCTGGAGAATAGCCCTCTCACCCCAATATCTGTTTGTCATGTTCTCAGGAAGCCTCGATACCCTAGCCAGGCCAGGCTTTCCACTTTCAGTATATTTATGTATATCTCCTTCCTCTTTTAACTACAGTATTTCCATATTAACAAATCACTAACTTGTGTATTATCACCCTCCCTCCTTAAGAACCAGTTCCATGCTTCTTTCTGTTTGCTTTGTATCCTGGTGAGTCACACAATAGGTGCTCAATAAAGGTGTGCTGGCTATCAAGTTAATAAGTGAATGTTACTGGTGGGAGGTCATGGTGTCCGGGACTTCCCTGCATCCGGTAACATGTAAACCCATCTTCTCTCCCTGTGCTGTGCTCCTGCATAGTCTGAATGTCTTCCATAGCTGAGATAGCCATTGGCATACAAGCAACTCTGCCATCTTATTCCCTGCTTGTGATGGCCTGAAGGCAGGAGGGAGTTAAATGCCCAGTAAGGGACTCTAAGCTGTTGGAAAGAGCTGGCCATTTGCACTGTTGCCTGTAGAGGACACTTTTAACCTTGTCATTACTGCCTCCAGCCTGCCCTGGTCATCTCCCTGGAGTCCCACACCCAGGGCAGGAAGAAGGAGGCCAATACAGCTCTGTAGAATTCTGAGGCCTTCTCTTCCTCTACATTGTCAGAAGCATATGTTGGAATCTTAGGCTTGTCTCCCTTCACTGCCACCTTCCTGGCTCTGAGGACCCTGGATCTGACTTCTTTCCAGACAACTGGAATATTAAGTGCCTCAGGGCAGTACTGCAAGCTTTGTTTGGGAACCTCAGTTTCCTAATCCATCAAGTGTAAATAAACATGGTACCAGCCTATTGGTAGGTTT